GACTCACCTATAAGCGTTATCCAGTGCCCTTCATCACCCCTTTTTTGGTATTCAGAGGGCCGTTCAGGAAAAATGAACCATGGTTCTGTGGTTCCCGCATGTGCCCCTATATCATGCAAAAACCGTTTTGAAAAAGCTTGGCACACCCTGAACGACCTCCCTTGTCACACTTTCGTTGACGGAATACTAAGGTAAAAAAATAGCGTCTCACATTATTTATGGAGACAGCAAGAGTAACAAAAACACCTCGCGGGTTTTGAATGTTGGGGTACACTAGCGTTATTGCGGCGCCGTCACGTTGACCCTGCAAAGAAATTGCGAGTACTTAGAGACAGGAGGACTACCATGGTCATTGTTCGAGTCTGAAACATGAATTTGTGGTATAACGTCCGCTTCTTACACACCATATGTTTGTTTAGATAATCTTCGATCATTTTTTGAACATAAGCATTAAGCCCCATTCCAGGATACACGATGGCAGGTCCACGAAATCCACATGTTTCCCTCATGTTCCATACAGCTATCGATACCACAGTGGAGGGAAGCAGGATTGCAATCAATATCAACGTCGTCATGGCTGAGACTTACTGTGTATCTGAAATATGGAATGCAAAGGAGAAGAATCAAAAGTCTACGTACTATGATGGCCTTTCAGAATCTTTAAGTACGCCTCGATGTGGAAACCTCACAACAATTTCAATAAAATCACCATGTTATTGAGCAAAAGCTGCTGGTAACAAATCACGAATCTCTCTCGTGTAGAGCACCTAATTAAAAACAGTAAGGGCACCCACGCTCAAATGCCGGTCGTGTTTTCAATAATTTTTGCCGCAAAGCTGGCGTTTACATTTCAACAACTCGGCAAAAACGCGTGGATTTCGAAAGCGTAACTGGCACAAGCCGCTTCCGACCAAAAAAAATGTACGACAATTGCAATGTCGGTCATGCTTAGGGTATGGTAGCGTCTGAGATCTTCCTTCTCTGCCTACTGCGATTTCCTCCACCCCATTCTCCGCTTCTCTGGCCCTCATTGCCTTCTTGCCGCGAAAAGAGGCTTGTGCTGGCAAGCCAGCTCATCGCCGGGAGGTAGCTTCATGCTCATTACAGTTTTGAAAGATGATCTATTCAGGAAACAGTTGAAAGTGTGACAGTTCACGAATAAAAAACAAGCTCTAGAGCAAAAATCTCCAAGGCCTTCTTTGAAAATCTGGTTTTGCAAGACATTTCTCGAAAATCCGTCAGAGGAAACTTTACCAGTTCACAGCACCTAACTCGCTTTCCGTTGGATGACTTTCACGAAGTTCATGAAAAATTTGGAAACTTGAAATTGGAGAACTCGCATGTTCTTGATTCATTCTACGTGAAGAGTACCTCACTCTTGACAAGATGCGGGGGCACGAAATGGGGTATACTTAAGGACAGAGGATGTTCCTGATAAATTTCTGGGAACATGCCAAGTCTCCCTCATCAGTCACATAAAATAACACTGCTCATCTAATTTGATAAGCCACCCTACCCTCCATAACCAAAACGCGCTTTTGAAGCGGCGCTAAGCCCGCTCATTGACGAAACATCATGTTTTTCACCTTCCAAATATTAATTCGTACTCGAAGAGTGTGGAGTACAAGTGAGGAGAGTCAAATGCTTGCTTGAGTGCAGCATTATCGCACTACCAGTTTTTACTATGGCCTTTTCTTATCCGTATTCGCATGAAAATTTGCGTACAATTCTCGCTGTTTCAGTCTGATGCCAATAAGCATTGACCGCATGATTTTCATAGAAGAAAAGTTTTTTAAAGTGTGACTTTCTCTTCTGTACCTCTCGAAGGAGATGCTGCTGCGTTTTTCACTTCTGACCACGATCGAGCTGGACGTCGGGGGAAATCTTTAGGCACAATGTCGGCAACTAGGTCGCTAGGCACAGCCCTCCCCTACATAAGAATGGCACATGAGAAATTCAATTGCTTTTACGCAAAGCGTAGGTCGACGTAGAAGCACCATATAAGCTGAGACACATGCGAGAGTTCAGCTGTAATCGTTTTCTTTTTTTTCCATTTCATTTACTCTCGCAAAAAATAACTGAGCAACTTTCTAGGACATCCAACTCTTTACTACTCAGAAAACGAGTGAGAAGCCGTGAACTAGTAAAACTGCATTCCCTGACGGTCTGTAGGAATGCTTCGTGAAATCAGCTTTTCCAAAATAGCTTGAGGATTTTTGCTTGCTCTTCCGCTTTTTTTTCGTAGAAAAACCTACATATACGTTTTCAACTTGTGCCGCAGTATCAGTTTCGTAGAGGAAATTCGGAGCGTATAGAGTTACAACTCTTCTCTCTCGCCGAAAGAGAATAAAAAGTCAGTTACAATGGAGTTCAAGTTAACCAAAGTCACGCTGGAAAATGCGATTTGGCGTTGATACTAGTGAAATAACTTTCATGTCGCCTCTACATCCCTCCTTTAGAGCAAACCGGGTATTCGTCCGACTAAGTAGGAGGATATCCGCGCGAAATGTCAAGCTATTTTGTAACTACCTAGATCACTAACAACTTAGCCGCTAGACTTCGCGCGCTAGACGCGCATCCTTACGGGCCGCAACCATCGACCCAATTCCAACGCTCCCACCCACCGCGAGAGGTGGTGAGATCAGCGTGCATTGATGTAGAGATCAGCGTGCTCTCTCAAACGACGTGCTCTCTCGCGTATTTTGTCTTCTTTGACCGCCCTTTCTCGACATCGTACCACATCCGACCTTATTCTAAAGGTTAAACTTATTTCAACGGTCTCCGCAAGATCTCCTTGCTTTCCTTCCTACCTTTCATGGTCGTTCCGCAGTTGAGTATCACTACAGAGCGCCTGATGGCAACTAGTTCAGTTCCCGGAGATTTGCCTTTACCTCTTCATTAAATTCTCATACTCATGCTTGTCACAGGTGTCAAGTTTTATGTGCCGTGTTGTTTAACAAACAAAACAGTCTCATACTCATATGGAGAAATACCTGAGTTGTAAAATTTCAGAGTGATGTTGCACTTGTGAACATTTCGGATTGCAACATCAGACGCCAATTTGTTCGCAACATACTTAGCGATCGGCGCAGTACCAAGCTCGACTGTGATTGCTCGGTTCAATAAGATGGCCAAACAAACACAATGATGAATACTAATTCATCTTATAACGAAAACGCGCTTATGCGTGATCGCATGTCGTACTTGGAAGAAACATGAAATATCGACTCGTGCTTAAACCCTTTGATGGCGGTTTATGTGAGCACAAACTATCCGGTCTCATCGCTGTCATGAAACATGTGCTATTGCGTCTTTGAGTTCTCCGTGTTCTTATGCGAGCTATACATATCGAATAACCAGAGGCGTATTAGTCTAGGAAAAATTGAAATCGAAATTAAATTTTCTTTTGAAAACAAAATTTTTGATTGTGTATAATTGGACTATTCAATTGGTAAAACCGAAAACTGTTTTTGTTTTGAAATCTCAATATTATATGTGCTTTTTTTTCAAAATTTATCTAGAGGGTGGATCAACAATTTGTCAACCTTCGTTCTTCTAACGAGACTAGAACGAAAAATCTCCTTTTCTTGTGCTCATTAGTCAAGATCATTTTTGTTACCGCATAGCTATTACGGCTGCGACTTTAACAAGAGATAGAGTAGCATCATTATCACTCACGGTGAGAATGTACGGCTAAATTTAACGAAGAGCAAAAGGGTAGTGCCTCTCATCCGACCTATACGATTTATGATGAGACAGCTTTGAAACATGCGTTCGTGAAGAAAAAAGCTTTTTGCGCTTACCTTGGGCTTCTGTTGAATAGTGCGCGCGAACTTGCATTGGCATAGCTGCTATGGTGAATCCTGTAAGGAGCGCTCCAGGGTGGAGCAACAAAGCAGATTCTTTCTCTCGCATTGGTCACATTTTTTCCAAAATTATTCTCCGAGGAAGAGCTAATATCATTTGGGTGTCGGGAACTTCCTTTCTGAACGCAAAAGCAATGATGTGGTTGAAGACATTGGTCCTAAACGCTTCGTCCGTGGTTCGTAAACATGTTTGCTGTGGTTCCGAAAGTTGGAAAAAACATTCAAGGCTGACTTCGCAACAAAGCTTACAAATATGCTGGAACGACGAATTGACCGAGAGTTGCCTCTGCTGCCCAAGAGTCGTCGTTTGATTACGAGGACTGGCCTCTCCGCATGATACGGACTCCTGGCTTGTTGTCGGAACGTGTTGACTTCATTGAATGCCGCCGCAAATTATGACCAATAGTTGGCTGTCAAATGTGGCTCCTTGCTTCTGTACGAGTTCGTGATACAGTCTATACAAAGGTGTTTGTTTTTTCTCTGTCAAATGGCATTGTGCGTTTGCACTAGAGGTACGAGATACATATTGAAGCCATATCGCTCTTGAAAGGACTCCAACCAGGGTCAACCCTGCGTTGCGCAAATTCCCAAATTTTTACGACCCCCTTCCTTTTCGGGGGGTATCGGTACGACCCCCCATATTAACTATCATGTCTTTCACATAATTTAATGCTCATCAATGCTCATCAATGATGGCAGTCACCAACATGGAGAAGTGGTGGACCGTGGACGCGTGGTCAAATGCCGCTCCACCGTCCGAACACCCTGCCGGTCACACCGCGCTCTGTCTCGCTCAGAGGAGGAAATCGAGGCAAATGAAGTTTTATTCATTAAATAGAAGGAATTTTCCAAATTTTTGCGTAAACCAATACATCATTTTAATCGTAAAGATTTCTACTTTCAGAAACCCACCAGGATTTTTTCGATCTCTCAACTTTCCTTACCTTATAATCTGAAAAACTAAACCTTGTAGCAATTACATTGCAATCCAAACCCCTCCATTCAGAAGGTTATATTTTCTTTCAGAAGCTGTTTCATGAAATCGGACACCAAAATTTTAAAAATATAAATAGTTTTCTTCCTGAGGAGTATTTGAAATGTTGTGGATGTTCAGTATTTCAAAAAATCGTCCCGTTGTTCCGTTTTCTGTGCACACGCGAGTTTTTGACATTCAAACATTCATAACTTTCTTCATAATCAACTTTTTGCAAATGTCTAAGGCTAATTAGAAACTAGAAGATTAGAGCTTTCGAACAAGCACCTGAAAATTTTCCAGCGATCATTTTTTCAAAAAATAGTCCCGTTGTTCCGTTCTTGGGTGGTTTGGGGTCCGATTTTTGAGAAGGCGCGAGTTTTCGACATTCAAACGTTAATAACTTTCTTCATACTCAACATTTTGCAGATGTCTAAGGCTATTAACCCATTGGCGACAATGCGATTTTTTATATTTTCGAAAAATGCGTCGTAATGCACCAAACTACTGGCACCAAAAATGTTGAATCTCAAAGCAGACACTGTTGAGACTTTGCACGTTTCAAAACTTTCCCGATCGCACCCGAAATGAGCGTAAATCTTTTCGTTCGGCCCAGGGTGGATTTCGGAGCAAGCGAGGAGAACTTCAATTTTCCACTCCAGAATTGGCAAATAGGGTCGAATCCCGTTCTCTTCTAGTGAGAAGTTGTACCAGCCCTCTAGCTAACTGAAAGCAAGAAGCCAGCCGTATACACTTAAAAATAACAAGCCTTGCTTTAAAAAATCACTTTTTAGCACCGCTTATGTAAAACATTATTTAGGAAAGATATGCATGGGCCACGATTACCATAAGTACTACAACGCCTTCCTGATTAATGTGCCATTATAATAATTTTAAAAATCTTGCGTAGAAGAATTATCTCTATGCTGCGTCCCCACATCGACCCGCAATGTCGCCAATGGGTTAAAAACTAGAAGGATTAGAGCTTTCGAATAAGTGCTAAAACTTCTTGAAATAATCACTCGCTCAAAAAATAGTCCCGTTGTTCCGTCAATTCCACCTTGATTTTTTTCAAGCCATTTTCCTGGACCGCGACTATGCAGTCTTTAAAGGCCCATAACTTCCTTTGAAATTAATGTGATGAGAAGCGGTAAAGATTGTTGGAATCCACTCGAAGAGTACTTCATAACAACTGTGAAATTTCCCTGAAATTCCTTCTTCTGCCTCAATTTTCCTACGGCGTCTCTAGAACTCAATTCAGCAAATTCGCTACACTTTGTTTCGCTTAGATTTTATTTGAAAGCATCGAAACTCTCTTCAGAAAGTTTGTCTGCTTACGGCCGCTGACAGAGGAGGCGTTTTATGGGAAAACGCCTCGGGTATACGCCGTGCACCTATCTGTGGGCAGAATTCGCACTCGCATTTGAAAGTCTTCTGTTTTCCTGAAGAAGGTGTTAGTATCCTGATTGAGTTGTATTGTGCTGTTATATGGCACTCTTGTTTCACTTTCCCATGAACTGCTCTAAACTTTGTTCTCCTCGGGATTTCAGGAATGTTCATTCATCGAAGACAGACCATGTTTTGGCTATTGTCTATTGCACTCTTGATCTATGCCGCGGAGCAAAAGCGCCGTCCGGATAGCGTCGATTAAGATAATAAGCTGATGGTGAGACTTATAGTGCTTTGCATGCTTGTTAACCCTTTCGGACCTGAATTTTTCCCCGTGGAGAAATTTTTCTTCTAGCTATTGTTTATTACTTGTGAGCATATAGGTATCATTATGGCGAAATTTGGAAGCTATTCGATCACAAACAAAGAAACTGAAGAAGCTTTGAAAATTGGCCCACCTTCTTAGTTTTTAAGCTTATGTCGAAACAATTCGAAATTTCATAGTTATGCCGAAAAAGTTTATAATCTTGCATAATATTATAACCCATAATTTTGATTTAGGAATGGATCTACTTCAAGTATTTTAAGACAAAGTCACACTTACTTGGCCGGTTGCGGGGGTCAGCGCCCATTCACTGTTGCACTTGTACACAAATACTTGCAATACTAACAGCAATAAACAATGAAATGGCCGGTTAAGCTCATAATTAGGAAGGGGAAGGTTGACTGAAGCAAACTCTAGCAGGATTAGAAAAACCATGCCGTTTTCAGCGGAAATGCAAGCGTTTGAAATTGTGTAATGCCACCGCCCGTCCGAATGCTTAATGCTCCCATGGAGCTCATGTCTGTGTGACTCTCCGACAGCGTGCAGAGCTCCTGGAGAACATTAGAGGCTGAAAGTGCACTCCCGGACACTGCACTTTTCAAGCCGTCTTGCAGCCCGTTTGTGGATACGACCCCCTCCCTTTTCGGTCGGCTGAATACGACCCCCTCGTTGTTCTTTGCGCAACGCAGGGTTGACCCTGCTCCAACCCCCTATAGGTTGCTTCAAATGAATACTTCTGATAAACCCCGCGAGATAATAAATCCGACTGAGCACGTCCCCATCCGGTACGTTCTTTCGAGTGAACTAAAAGGAACTTGACGTCAAAGGACACCTAGCTGCTGTGCAGGGTAACTGAAGGGATTGAGTGGCTGGGATTTTGTATTCAAAGAAAAGATTCTCCTCAGCTGCCGTAGTGTAACTGCCACTAAATGCTAATTTTACAATATTTCATCATAAAATCAATCAACCGCGTACCGTGGGAATGACAAAGTCCTTCTTTATTTCGAGGTGAGAGAAATTCTAAATTTTTCTTCGATGAGCAACGAGCCATCCGTTGCCTTCAGAGTTCTTGAAATATGAAGGCAATGGATAAATGCCTTAGCGACTACCCCACATAATTTTTCCATATTTCGCTGCAGTCTGACGCAACTGAACAGCATCGTCAATCTTGCCTAACAATAAGAGGGAAGACTCCTAGAAGCGGTTGTGAGATGCCGAACTATGGCCCTCTGCTATGGACAATGTTGCAGGAATGCACATTCTATGTGTAGCGCCGTTTTAAAGGCCGACCGCTCATGTAGAATGGAGTTTGATGAAGTGTTGAAACGGTTCCGTACGTCTAACATTCGGATGATGGCAATTATTTAGCCGCATCGCCGCTTTACGACCACATGCTTGTACAGAGCCTG